GGGACTGTATCGGCCACAAAAAGAGAGAGCGCAACGGCCAATAACAAAAGATCGCATCGGCCATCAAAATACTAAGGATTGCGTCGGCTATAAAATCACTAAATCAGCGCGCATCGGCTTATTCGCTAGCAGTGCTACGTCCACCAATACAAGAGGATCGCAACGGCTGCGTACACTGAGAAGACCGCATCGTCTCACCATAACAAAAACTCACAAGTCAAAAACGCTTCGGCTGCATGACAAATCAAAGGTGCGCATCGCATCGTCTACATAAACAGAATCAACCATCTTCATCTCATGAAAATAGGCCTTCGCTACGGCCAAAAGGATAAATGGGAGCTCTTCGGCCCCAACAAGATAACGACGAAAGCATGCCAACTTATCCACCAAGGATTCATCGCATCATCTACAAAAAGAAAGCGCATCGCCTCGTCCTCAAGGGCACTCCCACAGAGTGTGCTTCGGCCCGCATCAAGGCTATGAGTTCCCAAGCACGCTTCATCTACATCAAATAAGGGAACCGCTTCATCCAAAATCAAAACAGGAACTCTTCGACCATCAAACGCCCTGGGCTCACGCAACGGCCAGCCAGAAAGGAACAAAGTACTCCCTTTCGCTTCGGCTTCACCTCAGCTCAGAGAGTGGGGGACTCCTGATAGAGTATATGGGCCTGGACCCCATGGCCCACATACTCAATAGCCCAAAAGACACCAGCGGGGCACCCGCATCGTCCAGATGACCCGCGACGTCCAAAGAAGTAGTCATCGGGAATCGTCGCACCGCGGCCAGAGGGCCGCATCGTCCATGGTCCGCATCGTCCATGGGCCGCATCGTCCATGGGCCGCATCGTCCATGGACCGCATCGTCCATGGACCGCATCGTCCGAGCTTCGCCGGGCAGAATGTACTTTTCTATTTTATGTACTAAGTGTTGTACTCAGCCCATTAGTGGCCTTATTTCGCCCAAAGAAGGCATAATTATTGTAATGGGCCACCTCAGCCCAAGGCTAGGGGCCCAAATCCACATTTTTACCTATAAATAGACCCCAAGGGGCTAATTATGGGGGATTGGCAAGTTGAGAAATATAATTACTCACTCTCTCTCTAGCTCTCACTTCTCTCTAGAATTAATACTCTATCAGTAACCTTATAAGCTGATTTATCGAGCTAGTGTGTGGGAAACCTTATAAGCTGATTTTTATTTATTTTTTTACAAGCAATAAAATGGTACTCCTCTACTCCCGTATAAACATTTTAAAACTTTGAACCCTCAATATAATTTATTTAAGCATCACCGCCTAAAACGAGTACATGAGTCCCACACCGGAAAAGTTTGAATCAACAACGTGCTATATTAAGATCTGAGCTACTCCTCCTATCAGGTTGGTTGACCTTTTAGGATGGAACCTCATATCTTAACAATACATAACATTTCTGGCTCCACAATTATTCTTCACTCCTTTGTCAATCACAATGGTAAGGCGGGATTTGGGATTATGACCCTCGATCCCTAAGGGATAAGGGGTTTTAAGACCATTTGGAGTGGTGTGAGTCAAAATGTCAAAAATGGACTCCGTATTTATGAAAACAGTGTTTTGAAAATACACTCTGCACATTTTTTTACATATCAATTTAGTAAAACATTAATTAAATTATTATAAGTAATATTTTTCTTTTAATTAAATAATTATGAAATAAAAATACACATTTTGATGTTAAAATAAATAAATTTCATTAAAATTTTTTAACATTTTCGGTTAACAAAAAATGAACTTAGTTCAAGTAAAGTTCGATTACGGAATATTAAATTATTTGTGAAGGCTACATGAATTAAAAAATTGTGTTTTGTATTTTTTTGGGCTCATGAAAACATCAACAGTTAAAATTTCATATTTTTTTCATTTTATATATTACATATTGGTGTCATATGAAAGAGTATAAAAAATTATGAATTTTAATATTTTTTTTTAAATTTGATTTATGAAAAAACAAATTATAACCATTTTAAGAAAGATGGGGTTTTATTTTATGGAGCCCACTAACTACCCACCACTCATGATTCCTTTCTTTTTGGCAAAGTAGCACTTCCACCACAGTCAATCGGCCGGCTAAAATTGGACTCCTCCCTCCCCATCTCCATTTTTAGCCTCCTATAATGCTCTCCAATGTAAGAAGTTAGGAGTCTAAAATATCCATTTTTAGCATTTTAGACTCCTAATACCTTACCAAAATGCCTTGACACAATTTTGATAACAATAATATAATAATAGAATTTTAGTATCCTAGTATTCTATATATATATATATATATATATATATATATATATATATATATATATATTATCCTCAATGTAACATACCTTGTGTACATGGACCAATTAGAATTTACTATTGAACCATTTAAACATAAATAAATGAGGAAATAATCATGACATAGACAAATCTAAGAGCCCATTTGGTAATAATTACTCCCTCCATTTCAATTTGTTTGACACACGTTGAGTTCACAAAGATTAAGGAAAAAATTTACCAAGGGGTGAATATTAATGTAGAGTAAAAATGTGACCCTGTTTGACACTGTTTGGCACTGTTTTGCACTGTTTTGATATAGATTTGTTTACCAAATACGGAAATAAGAAAGTGTGACATTCATTTTGAAACATCTAAAAAGGGAAAGAGTGTCAATCAAATTGAAACAGAGGGAGTAATAAACTTGATTGAATGTACTGGGATTTATGAACTTCTGCTTGAAGTGGCTGAATTGGGTAAAACAATAATGACATAGACCAATATGTTGAACTATATTTTTCATAATTTTATTAATAAATATACTTTATATATAAAAATATATTGTCTATAAAATATATGATGGATTGTCTGTGTTGGGATACCGCTAGTGGTATCTATAGAGAAGTCAGAGTAATAAGTATGAGGGAGAAAGTGTGGTAGCAATCAATAACCAATGGTTCGTTACAACTGCCCAAGAGCACTATTTATACTAGTCATAAATGCTAGGTGCTTTAATGCACGTACACATGTAAGCTAGTCTATGGCGGAGAATCCCTTGTTGGTGTGGGGACTGGCACGTGGCACAACATTAAATGCGGTGATTGGACGCTCAATGGATAAGAGACCCTGTCGAGATCGAGGGCCTTCGGTACCGGGGCCGAGGGTTGTACGATCGAAGTCTAATGTGATGAGGCGTAATTTTCAAGCATGTTGTTAAGCCAAAACGGGGTGGCTTCCTTAGTGCCGAAGGCAGTCCCTTGTGGGATGTGGGTTGCATCGTACTTGGGCTGCTGTATTTGGGTCGTCTGTGTTTGTTGGGCCTATTTGGAGTAGCAGGAGTATGTGGACCAGAGGTTCCCCGGCTATATACTCCATCAGGTCCCCCGCTCCCTTTAACGACAGTTTCTCGAGGGAAAGGGGAGTAGTTCTCTGAATTTTCCGAAGGTTGTCTTGCTGCTGTAGATTTTGTGGATTTTGGTGTTTTTTCACTTTTTACCGAGGGGGATACCCCACTCCTTTACGCCGAAGGCGTGTTCGGGCTGAAGGAGTGTCTCCAAATGTGATGACCCGAGGGTTGTGTACTATTGTAGCCGGTGGGGATGGCTGTTGGGGCCGTTAAGTTCTCTGGGGTGAGCGTTGGAATGTTTGGGGTAGCAAGAGTATGTGGGTCGAGTGTTCCCGGGCTATATACTCCATCAATATATTTTATTAATAAGGTTATGAAAAAATATATGAAAATTAGCTAAAATTGTCTTCTACAATAACAACCATCATTTTAGTGGGAAAAGTAACTTCAACCTAACTTATTGTGATTATTACTCCGTGTAAAATTCAGCTCACGAAGTCAAACTACGTTTTTTTATATATAAAAAGTTGACTGATAATCAAGACTGATAAGTTGAAAATAGAGTTATCAAATGGGCTCTAAATCACATAGATGTTACTCCATAGTGTACAATTAGAAATACTTCCATATATATACAAATAAACAAATGAAAATAAAGGACATAAATGTGATCTTGTAGCTTTTTGTGACTATAGTTGTGTTCAAATTTTATCATAGTGACTGTAAATACTACCCATGGTAATTTATAGTCACTTTTTTGTCCATAATTTTTTATTTGTAATATTTTAGAGAGAAAAAAACTTGTATAGTTGTAACTTTTTAACAAAAGATAACGTAGTTTAACTGTAGTTCAGATATCTTAGACCCGGTTGTATGGTGTACATAGTATAGTCGGGGGCGTTTTTGTAATTTTGAGCACCGTTGTATCTGCTTCATATATTCTAATTCATATTTTTACTTATTTTTTTATATAACTTTTTTTTAATTATAACTATAAGCAAATCTTATGAATTGCAAAAAGTGAATCTAATTAATTTAATATTATACTTTTGAAATATGATTTCATATGAAAATCATGAACTTTACTAGTTGAGCATCAAAACATTTTCGTTGAATATCAATACATTTTCATTAAGCATCAAGTCTTCTCTATTGAGCATTAAAACTCTGCAATTGAGTATAAAATATTCAAAAGTTATTGAGCATCAAAATATCTTCATTGAATATCGTGTTTACTATTGTTGAATATTACGACTATGTGATCAAACATCTTCAATGAGCATTGGAACTCTTTATTGAACATCAATACATCTTTATTGAGCATCAGAACTCTACATTAATTGATTAAGCTCCAATCTGATTTCACCACTAGTGCAAAATATGGATTCTATAACTAGGTTTTAATATGGGTTCACTTTGAACCGTTGTTATATGTAGGCGCGGGGTCATTTTTATAAATAACAAAAGTTTAAGTAAGTTCAACGGGTAAATATTAGAAATATAAAAGGTTATTGATAACGGTTCTAATTATAACCGACATGATATACATAAACGGGGTCATTTCTATAATTTAAAGAAACTTAATTTCGAAATGGGGTCTGTTTTATAATTTAAAAAAATGCTTTTTAATATCAATTTACTTGTAACCCTTGCCAAAAGTGGCAACCAAAAGATACTTCGTAAGAACTAGGTAAACCTCAACCTACGAACAAAACTGCTCCCATCCTTAGCGCCGCCGCTGCTGCACAATTTCTACGAAGAGGACTTGGACGAAGACGACCCCGAGGCCGCTGCTCCCATCCTTCTGCCTAAGCGCCTCTGCAGTCTCCTCCTGACGATTTCGACCGCCGTAGCAGGCCGACGACTTGGACGAAGACGCGGCCGCTGCTCCCTCCGACTTCGACAAATACTCTGCTGCCGCGGCTCCCTTCGGCTTCGACTCAGTCAGCTCTCTTCCAGGTCACTTCTCAATTTTCTCTTTAATGGCTATGCCCTCAGTTTCCAGGTCATTTGATGCTAATTTGTAAACTCAGAATGATTTAGTTCAGTGGTCTGAAACTAGTCAAATAAGTGATTTCTGGGTTCATTTACCATACCTACTTAACTAGTCACATAAACATTCTACTAAGCCACCAAACCACATGAAAAGTGCTAGCTCCTACGGAATATATTGTTTTCAGCTTTTAGTTTATGGTTATACATGCAGTCAATGGATATAACTCATTAATTAGTTATCAGTTTACAAATTTCTAGTCGCAAGTGGTTTTTGTAATATGTTTATAAAAATACTCAAGTCAACCTTATTATTACTTTCAAATAGCAGTGATAATGTCCTTTAAAGGTGGAAGATAAATAGCTCAATTATTTCTGAAATTGTACTACCCCATAAATTATTAAATCTGATTAGTGATCATTTAAAAGAAGTAATGGTGATCTACTAAATCAATGCTTTAGGCATCCAGATAATAGTAATTCTGGTGTTGTTTGAAGTAAGGCTTCATCAAGTGAAATTGTTGATTAAGAGCTGTAGTCAATGTCTGCTAGTAAAATTGAAGTGATACTCTGATTCGTTTGCCCTAGAACTAAAATAACAATTATGTGAAAATGATCTAAGGTGTATTGTTTGAAGTCAATTTTGGCTGCATGTGTGTACCTGAAGAATTTGTATACCATTCCTAGATAGTACGAAGTATAAGTTATCATAAACATCTGTGAATATTGCATTACCATAAACATCATGTAAGTTTTTAATAATCAATAAGGAATTGGTAGTATTCTCTATGTTAAAAAATTTAGTGTTGAAAGTAGTGTGATGTAAACGTATATAGTATTCACTGTCAACAATTGGTATGCGATACTTAACTTTAAAAGAATTGATGTTTGGTGGTGTATTTGACTATTTGAGTACTACTAACCCGGAATATTTGTAAGCGACATTTTACCGAACAATATGTAGACGTTAATTACGGCTATTGTTTGTGGGCGTGTTAAAGCTCTTTATAAGTGTGTATGTGATAAAAATAGGCATTTCAGGTTTGACTGCTCTGGTTACATACTCTGTGTCATAATTTAAGAGTTAATATAATCACTTTTTCTAGGTTCTGAAGAGCTATTGGAGATATGTTTGGGTAAACGAATGCTGAGTGCAGTAATCCTTGAAGAATGGATCTTGTAAGTTTAAATTATCACCCGTGGAAGATTTAATGTGTATTTCCCTTGTCATTTTGCAGTTATTTGTACAAGCAGTGTGTCCAAAAGAATATGAAAAATACATATGGATTTTTTGACCCTCATTCCATCCAAGAAGTGGGAAATAAACCTGATGAAGTCCAAACATACATATTGTCTTACCTCGGTGAAGACAAGGAGTGTTATCTATTCCCATATTACTATCCGTAAGCACAAGATTATGGCTTCATTTAGTATATATAAAGATGTGTGACTAATCATTTTTTATTTCAGCAATCATTGGCAGTTGTTTGTGCTATGTCCTAGGCAGAATTCAATTGTCTTTTTGTGCTCCTTGGGAAATAAGCCAAAGAAAAATATAAAGAGTCTTTTGGATTTGTGAGTTATAATTTCAGTTTGTCATTTTATTGTCATTACTAATTTCAAAATGACTAATTTGAGCTACTTTTTATTAGGTCTATGCAAGCGCATCAAATGACTTAAAATAAAAGGAACTCTAAACCAAAATGGATTCAACCAATGGTAACCACTACTCCACTGTTTCTTGTAGCTTATTTTGAAGTTGTGGTCATAATCATGAGGTATATGCTTAAACGTGCTTTTATTATTGACATCAAGGACAGTTGTAAGTATAGCTAAATTTTTTTTAAAAAAAAAAATCCTGCGCTTTTGTATTTTGCTACTAACTTCATATTGTTAGCTTTGTGTTGTTTTATTATTTTTAACTGCTTTTTACCGATTTATAGGGATTCTGTAATTATGATTTATCAATCTATTTATTTGTAGTCTCGAATGCAAAGGGGGGGCTATGAATGTGGGTATTACGTGATGAGACATATGGCTACTGTTATTTCTGTTGGTGTTGCTAATTCATGGATGGAGGTAATAATTTTGATTATAATATTTCATGATATTCAACCGCATGTATACTGTTGCACATAAATTTATATTTGTCATTGAAAATGTTAATTTATTTATTTACTTCTATTATTTATTTGCAGACATTCAACAATCAAGATTCCTTCAGTGAAAATGACATTAATGAGACACGAGAGCGTTGGGCGTCTTTTTTCTGTGAAGCTATGAGCATTTGAAGTCATTTTTGAAGTTATTAGACTATCATTTTGTTGAAGTCATTTTTAAAGTTATTAGACTATCATTTTGTTGAAGTCAGTAGTAGTATATGATGATACTATTGAGTTAGTAAGTAGTATGATACTCTCATTTTGTTGGAGTTTATAGTCTGATACTTGAATGTTGTTGGAGTTGCTATGAATTTTGTTGAAGTTTATGATACTATTGTTAATCTGGAATTTTGTTGCTGATTTTGTTTCAATTGCCAAAAATGTATTAGAAATATAATTGTGACAGTTTAATAACTACTAAATGACATTAAATACCGAAAGGCTAAATGATGGTTAGCTTGTAGTGAAGAATTAATAACGGTTGAAATGAATCCGTCATTGTACATTCAATAACAGTTTAAAGCAACCTGACATTAAATACATTGCATATCAGTTGTAATCTAACTGACATTAAATGTTATAATAACGGTCTTTATCAAACTGACATTAAATGTTTTAATCACGGTTATATATAACCCGTCATTAAAAATTGGACATTTCATAACGGTTGTCACACCCGACATGAAAAGGCAATACTTTTAATGAGTATGGAAACCATGTCGGGTACAGAACCGACATTAAAAGTCCATTTTAACCGACATTAAAAGCCATTTTTCCACTAGTGCACATTTAAAAATCTCACTCATGTGCATATATTTACAAATCTCATATAAGTATATTCCTTATTTTATGCTCATTTGAAATATTTATTGTGCTCTCCTCATAATGTTATACCAATGTTCAGTTCCTTCAAATATAAAACTCATTTGATTAACATAAAATTAATTTCTATAACCGGCAATGCAATATAATCATTACAAGCCATTTAAAATACTATTAGATTCATTCACTAGATTTCCCAATGAGATATTGATGGAGTATATTCTCATATACCCCATAGGTATCCACATTCACGAATAAAGGACCTCCATAACATACTAGGTCATTTTCCAACCAAGGCCGAGCTCGACCTCGGCCGAAGTCGGATCTAACATTTGACTCCCAGAATATCGAGATAAGTTCAAACTGCATCCGAGACCAAGGTCGACTCTCGCTGGGGTTAACGTCAAATCCAGGTCATTACCGAGTTTAAAGTCAACTAGCGCTTCGCGAAGTCAACGAAACAGAGAAAGCATTGCCACTTCACACATAGCGAACTGAGGTTGCCCTCCTCCAAACAAGCACACTATGCTTGTGCTCGACCTCATCGGTTGAGCTTGGGACCTAATTAGAAAGATATGGACTTAGACATTTCAACACTTAAGTCCCACACACAATTGTGGCCACGTCACCCCCATGACAGTTGTCCAGGGCTTACGTCACCCAGACGATTTTGTACAAAATATTCTGGATAGCACATGTGTGCCCTGCACATGCGTTCCAGCACGCAAAGGACGGGTTCTGTTACGCACAGTATCAATCAGCCAGCTTTCTTCATTCTCTTGCCAATCAAGCTTTAATTTACTCGTGCCACCATGGAATTAGACTATAAATCTTTTAAAAATAATATATTAACCATTGTACAAGTTCGTATAATAAATATTTGTGAATAATAAAGTCAATCTTAAAAAAATGCTCATCTTAGTGTAACGATCGAAAAATAGAACATAAGTCACCTAAAATATCACATGATGAATATTATCATATTTGAGAGAGGATATGTAAATTACTGTATGTTCCAGTATATGATAATGATGTGCATGAGTGATATATATACCTGTGATTAGCTACCAACTAGAGATTAAATAGGATCTACAGGAGGCTAGTATATCTAAAGCTTTATCTGTAAGAGTCATATACATGCTATACTCCTAATACTCCCCTCTCAAACAGAAAGGTCCCTAGGGAAAACTTGAAGCTTGTCTCGAAGAAAGGAAAAACTGGAGGCAAAGAGAGATTTTGTAAATACGTCTGCTAGTTGGTCCTTGGTAGAGAGAAAACGAACATGAACTGCTCCTTTGTCTACCAAGTCCCGAACAAAATGATAATCGATTTCCACATGCTTTGTCCTTGCATGAAATATAGGATTGACACACATATAGGTGGCTCTGATACAAGATGAATATTTGAGAGAGGATATGTAAATTACTGTATATTCCAGTATACGATATTGATGTACATGAGTGATATATGGTGTGATTAGCTAACCAACTAGAGATTAAATAAGATCTACAGGAGGCTAGTATATCTAAAGCTTTATTCGTAAGAGTCATATACATGCTATACTCCTAATACACATAAAGTGCAATAATATTTTAACACAATATTATTGCACTACCAAAACGCTCACATAAAACGTGTGAGTCACATAATAAATGGTAATGAAAAAATTACACATGTTCCGCGTTAGCAAGAGCCAAGCTTGAGTAAACCCTAGGCAGCAATCCTATGGACGATCTGATCTCTTAGCCTTCTCATCTCTAATTGGCAAGAGTCTTAGATGAAGGCAGGGTTCTCTAGGAAGTGAAGTAATTAGGGATGGATCCAGAAATGATAGGTGAGGTAGGCTAAGCAGTAAAAAATATTACTACACATACAAGGTTTATCTTATGGTTGTTAACGAACCAAACCTTTACCGAACTACTCAATTTTGATCTTGATTTTGAATCCAATTTAATGACCCGAGCTTAACGAGCTTTAAACTCGAACACATACCAGATTTTGAGTTTGAATAGTTATTCAAGTCGAGTTCAAGCATATTGATGATGGGTTCGATCCAGACTCGATCCTATCATTCACTGATAAATTCTAGGAATGAATTATATACTCCCTCCGTCCCATAAGGTTCTTCCCGCATTGACTTGGCTTGCATATTAAGGAGGTGAGAGTAGGGGTGGACTCGGGTCGGGCCGCCCGGCCCGGAACCAGACCGGCACAGTACTGTTTGGGCCCGGCCCGGCCCGGTACCCGATCTTGGGGCCGATTCTGGCCAACCGGAACCGCTCAACTCCAGGTGCGGGCTCGGGCCCCCCTAAAATGCACCGGCCTGGTCGGTTCGGGCCCGGTTCAGGCCTAATTTTTTTTCCCCCAACTTTTTTTTGTTTCTACCGGGTTGGGCTGGGTGTTTTGGGGGGGTTGGGGGTGGGGGTGAAGGGGGGGGTCGGGGGTTATTTAGAAAATCAAAAGAAAATTAACATTGAATCGGAACCGGCCCGGCCCGGAACTGCTGTCTACCCGGGCCGGTTCCGTTCACCCTTCCCAAAGAAAAAGCCCGGTCGAGCCCAGGCCCGAAACGGAATTGGTCCGGCTCGGGTCCATCCCTAGGTGAGAGTGAAGTGGAAATGTATTGTTGTAGTTGTGTATGAAAAATGTAAAATGAATGTGAGCCACACAAATTGTTTAAAAACGGTAAGTTGGAAGAAATTTTTGGGACGGCCCAAAAAGGAAAATTGGAAGAATTTTATGGGACAGAGGGAGCATTCACTTTTAAACGTTCTTACTGCAATTTTATAAAATCTTTAATGATTAATAAAGATTTGAGTTTTTATTGAATAATTCAAACATGAATCTATTAACAAGCATAGTCTAAACTTCTACATTCAAACATGTTTATCGAGCGTCCAAATCGAACACCGAGAATCTATCGAGGCAAAATTAAGCTCGATTTTGTTATAGGTTAGTGTTCATTTCATCGTTTTGATGTAGCATACTAATGATAATTTCATATGTATAATATACCATTAACACGTTAAACTTTTGTATTTAAAATTATTCTTTGATCTTTAATTGTATATGAAATTATGATGTATTTAAAAACTTACCAGGACTAAAATTATCATTAACATTTTAAATTAATCTTTAAGACTTTCGATAAATTGAGGTTTTGAATTTTTTTGAGCTGGGCTAAACACCGATTTTTTATTAACATATACATATAATTATATATATATATATATATATATAATTATATATATATAAAATTATATATATATATAATTATATATATATATATAATTTTATATATATATATATATATATAACAGGGTTGAGCTAACCCTAGCCACTATGAAGATTTGTCCCTAAAGTAACAGAATCAAAGGTTTTCCTATACTTGCGCTCTTATTTGATTTACACTTTCAACGGTTCGGTTTTGTAGTGTTTTTTCTTTGGTCGAGAGTTTTATCTGCTTCATGTGAGCATGAGACGTTCTTCTCCTAGTAATGTCTAGAGGTTGTGTGTTTCTCGTCAGTTTAACTGATCGGGTGATTAATTTTCAATTTTCATGGTTGACAAGGCTTGTTTTTTACGCTCCTTATGAACCACGGCCTCACTTTGGAGAAAAATAGGGCTAAGTTAGATCTCTTTTTCGGTGGCTGATCAAACTTATAATTCGGATAATTTATGCTCGGTAGAGTTTTCTCCATTGATTGTTGGTCAAATCAATTCCCTCTTTTCTGGTGGTTAGTGAACGAGAATATTTTATTTGTAATTTTTTCCTTGGAGGTTAGACTAGACTACATTATTGCAAGTGTGAGAGATCTGAAAGGATTCATGGAATCTATTTCTCATTCTATATGTCATTTTATTGTAGCCTGGGACTATTCATGCTGCACTACCTCTTTATGTCTCAAATTTAGTGGGACTGTTGTATGTTTTAATCTCACAACAGCACAACCCATCCCATAAGCTATATTATACACCGTACTGAGTATTTGTTTTCAAGTTTTAAACCCAACATCACCTAAGGATGTGAATTAACTTCAACAATTATATGTTTTACTACTTAATCTTATTAAACAATATCAATATATCTCTTATAAATTAAGTTAATGATGATGCTTCACTATGGATGTTTTTACCTGAATTGTTTTCACACTCAAACCAGACAAGACCAGACTTTTATAGTTATAAAATATAGACATTTATCTTACCATACCATACCAAACCAGACTTAAACAAACAAAACAAGACCTACAAATTTCAGTCCAAGTAAAAAGTCCTATATCACGTGACCAAGAATACCGTACTTAAAAGGAAAGGTAAAAATCTCTATATTTGCAATATAAGATACGGTTATAAAGCTACGCCTCTCAATAGAACAAACTAATTATAGATCTCACCTTTGATTTGCCATTGTTGGTAAAGAAGTGGAACTCTCTATTTAAATATGTTTAGGTGAAAGCTCTACTCCAAAAAGGAAATGTGAGGAAATGTGGGAATAATTCTACAACAAAAGTAAAACAGAAAACAACAAAAAGGGACATAGATAGCTTG